TTGAAAGCCACCAATTAAAGTTCTAGCAAAATACTATATAGAGCTTGATTCAGAAACATGTAATTATACGTAAAAATAAGTAAAGCACATCGCAACCAACAGTTGAGAGCAGAATGTAAGGTGATAAATGAGGGCAACTGATCTACCAGGTTCTAACGCGTAAGTCAGGCAAGAATTAAATGACCTCAGCACAGTTTTCTGTTGTTCTAATTACACAAGCAATTCACATTCATTGTAGAAAACCTGGAAAGTATTAATACAGACAAACACAAAGGAAAAAAAGGTAAACCCGTCACAAACCCGGCAGGCAGAGGTGGACACCGTCGGCTCTGGTGTGCTTCCACTCGGCCTTTTCGTATTTTCTGCTGCGACCACACCCTCCGTCCCTGGGGCTAGCCCTGCGCACTCGTGCTGCAAGCGTTCTCCCAGCACAACTGCAGGTCTGACTTTCAAACGTTTCCCTCGGGATTTCCACAGCTCTGCTCATGTCAGGAGGGTTTTGGAATTCTCTTCTGAACTACCCTTCCAGTTTTTGTGGGTTTTGTTTTGATTTTGACCAGTTACTCAAGCATCATAACCGTGACACGTTCTGTTCTTTGCTGTGTTCTAGAGCAGCTTAACCAAACAGGATTTACCTGTTCTCCGGAGGTTCGCAAGTGCTTACCTATGAAACTGACTGGGATCAGCATCTTTTTCTTCCAGTTTTTTTTTTTCAGGCTAGTTCACTGACAAAACTTTTCAATTTATTGCCTGGTTGTTCATCTACTAAATTAACTTTCATAATTCCCCTTTTTCTAGAAAATTTTTTCTTTCTAGAAAATTATCAAACTTAGTAGCATAAAATTTTATCTGTAAGATAATTTTTAAATGTTTTTGTTATCTTTAAATTCTATTTCCCATTCCTAAAATCACATATTCATCTTTTAAAAGGGACAGAGCTTGAATTTAATTCTAATTTACCCATTATTGCTTTTATTTTTTAATTGAAGTATAGTTGACTTATAATGTTGTTCATTTCTGCTGTACAGCAGTGATTCAGTTATAGATATATATTATTTTTCATG